CCGAACGATGTACTCCATTTATTTAGTAGTATAGTATCATACGACAGATATTATGCGTAGCCTAAGCTAGCCGGGGCCCGGCATACTACATCTAATTCTGTCCCAATCTGTCCGTGTAGCCGACATTCTACTAATATATCTTCCGCCCGCCTTATTAAGAATGTACTTCTATTTAACAGAAGCGAAGACGCTCTCGCGTTACGGCATACACGTTACGAGATCCTTACCGTACCTAGGTCCGCCGAATCGAGCATCCTAGACAGATTCTAACTCTACCCGGCCCGGACAGACTAGGACAGTCGCGCTAAACGCTAGCGTCTATCCTCCGTAGCCTGCTTATCTACGCTTTTATGTAGTAGTAGTATTAAGACACAACTCTCTAGATACTACGTAAGTTCCACTTTCGTATCGTACAGTTAGTTAGGTCTAGAATACTAGGACTGGCCTACCGTCGCGCCCGTTCTATAAGACTCTAACACAGTTCCTAGGCTTATAAAGCGACGACAAGCCCGAACCTGTTAGCGCCCTAGACGACTGTTACCGAGTACTTAAGCTACAAATCCGAGCTTCCGAGCTACTCTAGTCTAGAAGCTTCGCGTTATCTTCGACTTCCCTCTACAAACACGAGCGCGCATTCTAGATACGAGTTCCGTCAATGCGCTATGTAGTAGATGATACGTAAGTTAGAGCGCGGCAATCTTATTACCTAGAAGAAGTAGGCTACATAGAGACAGCTAGCGGGACAAGCTATATAGATAACGGAGATAAGCTTTCCGTAGCTTAATAGGAATTGTAAGAAGAACGAGGCGAATGTAAAGGTCTAAACCGCGAGTCGACAAACTCTAGTAGCAAGGACGCTAGGAAAGACAATCGGCGGCAGGCCGGTAAAGGTGCGAGTAGTAATCGTAGCTAGAATAAGCTCGGTAGAAGAGACAAGAGCACAGGTACCGGGAAGGATTAAAATCGGAGTACTAACAGAATTAGTTATGGATTCGGAAGCTAGGTATCGATTCCGGAGGTAATGGCCGTGCCGCTATTACGACCTTCTTACTAGATCCCGGCTTATAGCACTCGCCCTTTCGTCTTTAGACGGCAATTTAAGGATTATAATAAAGACAATAAAGACGAGGAAAGCTAAGCGGACTACGTCGAGGGGCGGAGAAGGGACATACGTAGCTAGACTTATTATACTAACGAACGCTCGTCTCTATAGTCTACTAGCTAGGACCAAGCGCTCCGTAATTAGTCTCTAAAGTCATTCGAGGGCAGGCGTAACAGGAGACGTCGAGAACACTATCTTGCGTTCTTCCGCGACGGAGAGAGCGAGTACCGGTTCTCTTCCACTTAAAACGAACAATCGAGGGCCCTATCGACCTTACTCAAACGTTACATTACCGCTACTTTAAAAGAACACGCTCTTCTACGGCCGCTGTCGTGAGTACTATAACTATAAGGAGTATAAGGATGTACTAAACGGTAAGGATCAGATCCGACGACTCCTTCCGCCTTAACCAATTGCTTCGCAAAATCTCACTCCTCCTAGTTAATAGCGTTAGCGCAGTACTACTCCTAATACTAACTAGCTACGAAAGTCTACCGTATGGGATTGATATGCCTTGGTAATTTCCACGAATCCTAATACTCTCCCGTCTACTACTGTAAGCAGCAAGCTTTACTAAAGGAACATCTAATCAAATACTCTGCCGGCCGAGTATAGCTACTCCCGAAGAGACGCCAGATCCAGCTTCAAGTTCTTTATCGACCGCATTACAGTGCTCGATCTGTGATTATCTCTTATCCGCGATCCCTTACGATAGAATTGTCTTGATCTCGCTGTACTGCGGGACATTAGCATAAAACACTACGTAGCGTTGGAATGTTTTCTAGACGGTTAACCTAACGTCTTGTATTGCCTTGGATGCGGATAGCATCAATCGAAGACACCTCATTCTGTACGATTGCTACCGCTCGGAGCAACTAACCATTTTAGTCTTACGTGACTCCTGTGCGGAACCTCACGCCTGTAGGATTTGAACTGGGTTCAACATAAACGATTGGAAAACACGGCTACAACATCTTGTTCCATATCAATTAGAAAAATCGCCTGACTTATCACGGCATCTAGCAGCCACCACTCTCTGTCTTTATCGCTACCTCTCTTCTCTTAGCGTACATCGTGGACTCTTTACTCTTTTAGACGTCGTTAATCGCTTCACTTCTTTAGCGATTATTCAGACCTTTCTCTCTGGCAATCATACGGACGTTCCTTATTAGATTGTCTTCCGTCGAATCTATTATTGCGAGCGTATGTGTTCCTCTTTCTCCCTCCTGCAGTTCTTCGTTTCGTCCCGTATAACATCCAATGTCTTCTCACTCCTTCTAACAATTCGCCGGCCAGGAATGTTCAGCTTCTTCTCCTGGAACTCGACCGTCGCACGCAATCGGATGCCCTCGACCTGCTTTCGTTGGACTTCGTCCTCAGATCCAAGGATCCGTCTCACACTCGTCGACAGCGGCTCTCCCGGTTGTCGGAAATTGAACTGCTAGATCTGAGAGCGGAGACGCTTGTCGCCGTCCCGACAGACGAGGAGTTCTTCCTCCAGTGAGGCCAATCCATCGACTTTACACCGGGCTTTCTATTCGCTACGTAATGCGATCCAAAGCTCATCTTCCAGGGATTGCTCCTCTTCTCGCCCTTTGGCAGCGTCTATGGTGAGATCGTTGAATACAGCCTCGAGCTCTCGAACCCCCGTTCGGAGATCCCGCTTAATGGTAGACGAAAGTCCGAATCATTCTTCGAAGCCTCGAGGTTTTCATTTGGAGCTGGGCGTTCTCATTATTTCACTAGGTTCCTCCGTTTTCCTGTCGAAGCGCTCCGGTTTGCCGTATGTTGGACTCGCTGGCCGGCTTGAAACCGCACATCTCGCTCTGGAGGGCTGGAATTCGTTCCTTAAACTCCTCGCTCGCCGCTTCGTATCAGTTCCCGGCCTCGCTATGTTTCACTTCCAGAATCAAGATTTCGATGTCGCCTGTCTAGATCGGAAGACTCTTCAGTCTTTTCCTCCAGATCCACTAATTTAGCGTTCTCGTCCCTTGCGAGAGAGATCCGTTCGTCTAGATATGCTTTCTGCTTCAGATGTGCTTTCTCCTCCACGACCAGGAAAGCCGGCCTAAATAATGGCGAGCCAGCGTGTTTCAATCCTACGAATCATTGAGAGAAAGCTTCTCTCTTGCGTCACTTTGATGTACGACTCTTTCGACTTATCCCTCCATTGGTTAGAGTCTGTTTCATCTTCTCCGAAGAACCATTCAGGAAATCGTTAGATCGCTTCTCTTGCCCGAGACATTCTTCTAGCCCCTGGATCGGGTCCTGGACAGGTGACCGGTTTTGCGACGCTGGTTCTGTCGTAGAAAAAATGGGGAAAACAGGTAAAGTTCCTATTGTTGTCCGCTCCCTTCGAGAAGGGGCACGTTTATTATAACTCTTTTGAAATGTTATGCGTACGTGTATGGATAGTTGCACGTTTATAATAATTGCGCCAAATTGTCGTTAAAGAGTGAACAATGGCGTTGTTTATGGTTTTCCCTTTGATTGGAAAAGGGTGGAGCAAGCCTCTGCCTTGTTCGTCGAGCTTGAAACAAAGGGAGAAACCTTCGAGCACACGATACAGCTCGCACTAAGGTAAAGCGGAGGAAAGAAAAGATCCATCGTCCAAGTTTATCGTCTACATGTTAGGTGCAGGTCCAGCGAAAGAATCACCTTACCGACTAGACGATAGTTACAGACTACACGATAAGTATACAGGTGAGTCAATAGAGACGGGCGTGAAAGCAGGTTCCCGTATAGTAAATGCATAGTGTATAAGCAGAGGTAAGGGGCAGCGAAGATGCCGGCACGAGTGAACGGAGAAGCGAGGAGATCAGGAGAGGCATGACGCGTAGGATCTCCGATCAACAGATTGCTTGCTTGCTCTCTCTCTCTCTGTCTATTGCGCATGCTAGTAGTCAACCCGATGCCTAGGCAAGGCAGTCTTATTGAATCCCATTGCAGTGTCTGTTCGGCAATCTGTCAAGATGTGCGCCTCATGATGTGGATACGTGATGTCGTCAGTTGCCGTGGAGGCCTGCGGCTCCCTCCAGACGCAAGTCATTCAGGCACATGAAGAGGAAGAGCGCATCGACGTCATGTCCACCATTCTGTAGCAGTTGGAAGAGTGCGATATTCGTCACACATGCACGGCGGACCAGGTCCCGAATCGCTCGCGAGTCGCGATTGGCAATCCAGCTGATCGATTGTATTGGGTTGCTACTGGTCGACGTGGGCACCGGTGTAAGGCGTGATAACCTGTCCCTCAGCTGTCTCTTCGTGGCAGCGGTTGTTGCGGTCATTGTAGTTAGAGTCCGAGTCGCTACCAGGTGAGTGCTAACGACAGCGTAGAGCAGCGCAAGGGCGGGAAGAGCGGATGGGACAGTTGCCAGCGTCACCGCCCTGGACAACATACTCCACAGGCCTGGAGGACGATCCCTGATGATGAAAGATGCCTGCTTCGCGGAGGACCCACACGGCTTTGGTAATCGAGGGGAAGGACGATTCCTTGTCAGCGATAGTGTAGCGTTTGGGTGAAGAAGGCCAAGAGGAGATGTGATACCTACATGCGTCGTGCCGTATAGGTCGCCGGAGACGTCGATGGCGAGACCGCGGGCGTCTACATCCGTGAGTCGGCTGGCACGAACCCCGACGCCCAGGTCCTTGACGCGGAACTCAGGGGCGAAGTGCCCTCGAACTTCTGGGTAGCATTAGCGTCAAGGACCGAAGGAGAGGCAAGCGTGCATGGGCCGTCAGCCTGAACATCGTCAGCACGGCACCGACATCGATACAAGAGATGTCTCTCACTCGCCTTCGTGATCCTCAAGCGCTTCGTTCCACGATCGTCAATCTCCTTCAGCTCGAAATCTTGCCGAGATTGACGGGATTTACCAAATGTCTGCATTATGCTGTATCACTTCTTGATCATCTCCGCGGCAAAGGCCTCGTCTAGGTCGAAGGGGAACTCAGGTTGCTCGAAGATGTATACGACGTCGTTGAGGTGAGGCAATAAGCCACGGTAGAAGCGCTTGCCCACAGCTGGGTGGTAGGTGCCGAGCTTGCGGTCCTGTGTTCTATGTTACCCATGTCAGTGACAGAACAGGAAAGGTACATTGCGGAGAGGTGAAAGTGCGAACACGAATGCGAAATGAAGGGACAAGGTACAGCGATGCATTACCAAACGTTCGTCTTCGGGATCCTGTTCCTCCTCACGGATACCTAGCTCTTCGGGCAGCGCCTTGCCGAGTGCCATGGGAGCGGCGCCGCGGTGTGAGAGTTAGAAGATCATGGCGATGGGGCCGCAGGTGAGTTGTATAAATTGGGCGAACCGATTGATAGTGCAAGATAAAGACAGCATTGACAGCAGCGGAGGCGCTCCAAGTTGAAGGAAGCATACCCGGTGGACTGGGTCCTGGCGCCGAGTTTGCCCTCGTGGATAGCGCGAGAAAGAGAAATTCAAAGAAAGCCAAGACTGTGAGTCGTGGGTGATGACTAGACGTCAAACTGTGAGAAGGGCTGCGAAGTAATTGGGCGGATCGAGCAGTCGATACTCGCATGATGTGGCGTTTCCGAGTACCTGGTACCGCCTGTGAAGGCGGCGTTTCCTTTCGGCAAATATCCTGTTTCCGCCGGCTTGTTCTAGCCTGAAAGCAAAAGGACCAAGGATGAAGGGCAGTGGTTTCAATCAGTATTGCGCAACTTTGATGATCCCGGATTCGTAATAAACCAGAGGGCGGAAAAACCAGTCTGGAGATAAGTCGGGCGCTCGTGAGGCCAATCCATCATTAACAAAATTAACAAAATTGGGGTGACTGGGTCGGTTCGATTCATCCACGCAGGCGTCATGTGAAGACAAAGCGCTTTGATGCGCACTGCAGGGCTGACATTGTGCTCACAGTAGAGTCCATCATCCTATCCAGATTCCAACGGTTCCAACCATTAAGGCGAAGAATCCGACGTCCCACTCTTCCGGTTACATTCCCGCCCTTGAACAGTGTATTGCCCAAATACGCTTCGCAAAAAGCAGCACACCAGCGCTTCCAACCTGGAGCAGGCTCTAGATTGTTCTTGCGCCAAGCGTCTGGCCGCAGCGCTCGAGATGGAAGAGGGTGAGGAAGGGATTCGTATGCAGTTTTCAGGCGTTGGAGAACAGAGCCGGATGACGTGATACTGAAATGGTAGTGTTGGTTGTGTTTCTGAAGGGCTGGTTGGCAGTTGTTGAGGCAGAGTCCAATGCGACGCGGGAGAAGGGAAGGGCCGGCACGGGCGGAAGTAGGATGATCCAAGATCCGCCCGCAAAGGGCGTCAACGGAATCAACTTTCCACGTTCACAATCTCGATCCCATCAACGCTCGAACTCGGCGGGGTTGCCATGAGAATGTTTGATGACTACCCGGGTTCGACCTGACAAAGCGCACCGCGGGAAACAGGAAGCGCCAGAACGTCTGGCGCAGCGGAAGTTGGATCATCCAAGTTCCGCCCGCTCCTTGACAGCCAAGCCAACACCCCCCTTCTTCCCAGCATGGTCATAAGCAATGCAGCGAAAGATGTGTCGTCAAATTACTAGGTATGATCCACCGGCGTTGAATAGGAAGCGCAGCCATGACGTTCCGGGACAAATAACATATCCTTCCGCGCACTCCCCTTGGCCGCTTGGGCATCTATTAACCATGCCACATTACGCCCGCCTTGAAACTTGCGACATTGTTATATTCGAGAAAGGATGAAATACCGCACTGTAGATTGTGAAGCGCATGCCATCCGGCGAGAATGTTTCCTTCTAGGTACCATATTCGCCGGGGGTATGCAGGAGTATAATGCTCTGCTCCGCTGATATAGCCTCGCTCCAGAGTACATTTCTCACCCTGTACGTAAGCTGAATGTACAGCCGTGATTATGGTCGCTCGAAATGCGGATATGACGCAAGGATGTGTTCCTTCCAAGCTTTACCGCTTCACAAGCGTCTGCTACTTTTCTTCTCGTTAAAGGCCGTCCATGGACGGCCCTTCGCAGTTCTGGAAATCACGTATTCCTCGCAATGGGCAAAGTTCCAAGGGTGTCTCTTTCTTCCAAGATCAACCACTCTAAGGAAGCGTAAGCCGCCTCTGTTCTTAACAGTGTTAGGTATCGCGTCGGTACAGAAAGATTTGATGCTTGATAGAGTGGATGGATTCGGGCAAGAAAGCGGTGCACCGTAGATGTACAATACTCATTAATCAAAGAGCAAATCATCTGTCGGAAGGCTGCGCTGCCTAAGAGCGGGCTGATGCCAGTGTCCCTTCGCTTTAAGACATTGGGGCAAAGGAATTGGAGAAAACAAAGATAGTAGAGCAGTAGGGCTTCAACTTTGTCTAATATCTTGATAGTACACGTTGTCATAGCGTGCGTACAGATTAATGTCCATCGAATAGGAGTACATTCGGGCGCTGAGCGAGCATAATCTTCCGCGACAAAAGTCGTATCCTACCATACCTAGGCCTGAATCTTTTCCCTCATATCCGAGCAACAACCTTCGCGTGCTACCTCGAGGACTTCGTAGAGGTGGTATCATAAGCGCTCTGTCGTCTCGGTCCGATTCATGTGAGCCATTACGAGGCCACCGGGCCGATAGGTATAGGTGGCAAGTCTGAAACCGGTACAGAAGAGATAGATAAAAGAGGAACCGCGTCCGGCTCCTGGCCTTGTTCTGGAGAATCATTTCGTAGACGCTCTTCATCGGCAGCCCATTGATCTAATGCCCTTGCCCATCGCTTCGAAGAAACCTCGACATCCATAGTAGCAGCCTTTCGCTTTTGGGAACATGGCAGCCTGTGCTCGCTTGTGGTACTGGGCACGTTTTGCAGCAGGCGCAATCTTGTTACAAATTAGCGCTCGTCGTAGTAGAGAAGGTCGCGTATGCCGAGGAAGAGAAGAGTTTGGATGAGACACACGCTTAAAGTCACGAAGACACGCATTCCATCTTCTGTGACTCTTTCGCGGTCATCGTTCCGGCGAGTGCGCACTCGCAGTGCTACCGAGCCGCGCTTTGAGATTACCAGTGCATGCTTCCCAAGGAACCGGAGGCCTTGCTTGACAGCGACAATTAGAGTAACGACCATTTGTAACATGGATTGTTCTGAGCTCGCGATCTCGCGACTCTCGGCTTTGGACTCCCTTTCGCTGCTCAACTCCTCGTCGCTGTCAAATTCCTTGTCGCTGCCAAATTCCTTGTCGCTGTCGGGTTCCTCGTCGCTACTGTCTTTACTGCTGGGGCCAGCGCCAGTCTCGCTACTGCAGTCGCTGTTACTGATCGCGTCAAAAAGATCCCATTTGGAGTAGTCGATAGCTATCTTTGGGGTAGCCTTAAGTGTCTCTCGTAAGCAATGAGCAAACAGCTATCAGGCGTAAGGAGAAGTTGGAAGGCAAAGTCGGTTGATGGACCCAAGAAAATTGCAGTACGGGTAATGCAACCACTCCATTCCTACCATGGTTCGTTTCGTACCGTAACGCCTACGACTGAAGCAGTTTCAGAGATGTTGTGTACTGCGACAGTGCCTCCATACGCGCCTTCATGCATTCAAGTAATGCACATGCGTGTAAGCCTTTGTAAAAAGATCCACACGGCATTACAGTTCCGCATCGAACCAGCGGTTCAAGCTTGTTCGTCCACACAGAGGACGGCTAAAAACATGCGCCGTCTTCTAGCTGACACAGATGCCGACGTCTCGGTGGCCACCTCCGCTGAGCGTGTGCAGCTCAGATCGTCCAGACCGAACTCTGAGTGTGCCGTTTCAGAAGAACGACAAGGATGCGTAGCCTCTAAGCATCGTTGCTCGGTCATCCGCAGCATTTCAAGAGCCCGACACCTGAGAACCCCGAATCGGCGACCGATTCAAGAGTGATTTTTCGGCGACCTATACCTTGCCATTCTTGCGATGATGTAAATTCTGTAAGCGAGCTTGCCTGGGCGTTACGTGAAACGGCGATCGACGCTGCTGTGCAACCACGGCTATGACAGCTCATCGTACCGCAAAAGATGCCGCCAGGGCGAAGCTTCCATCGGTCTCTGTCTACGCAGCTACGGTAGCAATGCAAGATGCTGATTGAGAGCGCTCGATCCCTCTAGCTGCAGCGAGTCAATGCCGTAACTCTCGGAGATATAACGACTTGGCATCCGTGTGACAACAGCTGGCAAGCGCCTTGGGCAAGCGCAAGATTGACACTTGAAGCAGAAGAGGCAGCTTAGTCTTTTTGGAGAGGTTTGCGCATAGCTTGGGTTGCGTCGGTTCCAAACATCTCTGAATTCTTCCAAAGGAGAGCGAGCTGATTCTTCGCGCTTTGAATCGCAATGCTTGTATCGAGATACCTGGTGCTGTGTCTTTGGTAGATCTTTGCAATCAGAATGTCCTTCGTGCGAGCTGTGAGCATTGCTGGAATGACGCTGCGCGGACTTGTTTCTCCAAGGCTCCTGGTCCTCTGAACACCAGTGGCTGGGTGCGTCGGAGCATCAAGGGTGAAGCACCGGGAAAGGTGAGCGAATCATGCCAACCGTTACTCCATCCATTGCAAAAGAGGAGTAAGCGGGCCGCTAGCGATCTCAAGGTGTGACTTGTGAACACGTCCAGTTACTCCAGTACCGAGGTCTCACGATGCAAATGCTGCGTTCGTGTGCCTCGAAATTTCGTGATTCGCCGTTCAATCTAGCGAGCCGATGTATTCGTGGATGTACGGAGGTTGACCATGATGTACTTTGCGTGGAGCTCATTGGTATAGCTGGCTTCCAGGCTTGTTGCCGATGCGGACGCAATGCGTCGAATTGCGCTTCCTGATACCACCCCGGACTACCTCCACTGTCACTGTGTGTACTCCACTCAGGCGGAACGGGCAATCTTTCGGTTTCCGCCGGCTCCGCACCTTCAGCGCAGCCTTCCCTCGCAAGCGAGGAGCCAGCAAGCTTGCAAGCGGTCTGTACTGGGGAAGACGCCAGAGAGCTACCTCAAGACAAGCGGCGGTTCTGGCCACCTGCTGCCTGGCATATGGATTTTGCTGTCTGTAAAAACTTTCTCACTGGCTTTTGTTGCTTTCAAGATCCTGACTACTATGATTGGCACTTCATTCGCGAAGCTCCCCGGTTCCCGAATGAATGCTTGTCGTGGTGTATCCGAGTTTGCAAAGTCTAGACCTGAAGTGAGAACATTGCATTGCGCGGTTTGATCGACGGCTCCTGGCCCACGCAGATTTTTGTACGTGCTGCATGGCTGGTGGGTTTTCGAACACCATGCAATCATTCCGCGCTTCAGTCTCTTACCTGGTACTGTGCGTGGCATAGATGTTCTTCAAGCGAAATTCGACTTGATGGCATATATTCCGAGCGCCCTAAAGCAAGGAAGCGGTTGTGGGCAGTGAAAAAGCAGACCGGGCATTCACAGGCCGACTGCGATACTCTTGAGGCGATCCTCCTGATCATTCAGACTGCGTCTTTCCACCCCATCTTCCGCGGCCACGAGCTGTATGACGAGAAGTCGGCTCTTCCCTTGGTGTAGCTTACAAGCTCAGGCCGTTCAATATCAAAGAATCCAGTCCGGGGCGTTGTGTTGTACTTCCATGTCTCCATTCGGAATGTTCAAATGTCGCGAGACTGCAGTCGTATCAGGCAATCTTGAGACCACAACCCCGGCGGAGGCTTTTGGTCGTGCAGATCTGAATTCTTGGAGACCGTCTGCAGGACTCTGCTTCGGACAGTATGCTTGAGCGTATTGGGCAATCACCGATTGCTGGCTAGGGACTGGGCATGTCCGTCGACGTGGGTATGCAGCGGATGCTCGAGACGCTGGTCGTTGAATTCGCGAGTGCATGTCGGCAAACTGAAGCCGTGATAAGATAAGAGTCGACAAGCCGATGTTCTGAAACAGAGTAGAGACATGTGGAAAAGCTGGGTCGGTGGAGCAATGGAAAACGGTAAGGCTGACTTTGAGTTGACACGTGGCACGCCGCACGCCCGAGGCGCTAGTTCCCGTACCTTAAGCCGACCCCTTCGTCGATCCATACAGATCTCCCTCCGCGTGCTTGAACCGTGATCTCACACATACGACTCTTGTTTCCGCCTGAGTCTCTGGCATGTGTTCACGAACATGCATGCTCACCATAGCATACGCAAGCCAAGCAATTCGCCTTCGATGCTGGTTGTCCCCCGCTGCTTCCGTCGCTTCCAAGCTTCGCCGGCTACGTAGATTCTGCATCTCTAAAACCGACGCGACCACGACATGACCTGCAGCCAGCTATCAAACGCACGAGATCAGTAGCAGCACTCCCGTGCCTAGCTTGCAATCGTCCGCGTACCCCGGCAAGAGAGGGAAACGCTGCACGATTGTTAGCAAAGAATGCACCCGCATTATTTTAGCCTTGCAACGCCCGTATGATCGGTCGAAGAAGCAGAGCAGGAGGCACCCAATCTAGCGACAGCATGTACCGAACAGGGTATGCCCTTTTGAAAACATGCTGGATCCGGCTGGATCTCCATTCCAGCATTCATCGCTCTTTAAGCTTTTCTAGTATTCCGCCTTCCTTTCTTGCCCCTCTCCTAGTCAGAACTAGACTCTGGACGTGACTGAAACACGCATTCAATATCGATGGCTTTCTATTATTCCAGGGGCAAAGAGTTCACTAGACGAGTACGCACCACTCATTCCGTTATCCGCTTCCACCATCCGAAAGAATAGTAAACGGCCGGAACGACGCTGCTGTTTGTTATCTATGATCATTCATACTCTTTATGCTGACAATCTTCCTATCTAACATCCATCCAAATCGTTTTCCGCTTGCTCAAGAGGTCTCGCTGTTACTCCTTACCTGTATACATGGGACATAGTACAGAACTCTTCGGTATCTATCGCACATGGCTTCAAACTTGACCGCGAAGCTTGCTAACCTACCTATTCCATACAAACCCAGGTCGTGATCGCAAATTTTCGTCCCAAGTTTCTCACTGTCCAAGCCGAAGGCTATCAGACAGCGACGTTTGCTCGCAATTTTTTCTTTCTCTACCAAGGATGCTCGGGGACTCGGTGTCATACCTCAAGACCGCTTCGCCTCTGACTGCCCAATCTCCGCGCCACATGACACATTCAACTTACACGGTGAGGCGTCGGGGCGGACTAGAACCTCGCTCGATCTGCCGCAGCTGCTTCAGGTCTTCCCCCTGCGATAATGTAAACAGGAAGTTACAGGATATTGGGATCGGGCTGGTGTCAGTCGCTTCAAGCAGTGGCTCGTCTTATCTGACTCGCAAGTCTCGCTGCAGAGTGCGGACGACCATATCGTCCAGAGCGTTGAACTTGCACACCGGCGGAAGTTGGAGCAGAAGTTGTTTCTGTCCCAGGTTCCGCCGCCGCCTGAAACAACGCTACATTCCTGACTAAGAAGGGGCTTCTTGAATACAATCATCTTGCTTCTTTGGCTGTTGATAAGAGATGCATACATACTCTGCAAACCCAGCATGCCGTGGCAAGCCCCTGAAAGTCGCAGTGCTAGCAAGGTAGATCCAGGATGCGAGGGCCGAATTCCGGCGAGCTGTCAAAGGATGTGAAGGTGTATCGTTCCAACTATCTCGACCTGTTCTTCCCAAGGCAAACACGAATGTGCGCCTCGTCGCTCCTTGTAAGGCAAGCCGCAAGCTATATCATCTCTCACGCAAAGAATAGAACGAATCAGCTTCGAGTAGTACAGTCTTGGCGGCGACATATATTTGTCGGCTTGCGCTCTACTGTGCACGAGTCCCCAAGTGTGCATGGTAAAAGCAAGCTGTGGTTGCCGAGTCGCATGGAATATTCAATCAACGTGAAGGAGGGATGTCCAGACCGGATCCAGCATCCTGGATCTCGCTGGAGCGGACCCTGGATCCCGCGGTACTAGGGTCGCGCCCATCATTCGTCCTTGCTATCCAGGTATGCCATCGCTCTCTAAGCACTCATTTCCTAGAAGGTGAACCATGCTCCGCGCACTGCCAAGCACTCCTCCCAGGAACATTCGACAGCGCTGCAGTAGCACTTTCGACAGCATTCAGTCCGACCTTAACTCCAGAATTTGGTCATTACGCTCGCATGCTATGGAGAACGAGTGCGCACGCCTTGCACGAGACACATGATTGTAAGGGTAAAAGGCCGTTGGTGGATCTCACCGAGTGGGTGCTGATGGAGTCTCTTTCCTCGCTGTACATTCCACGTGGAGACTCATCGATGAGACATCATCCTCTTTTGAGCTCCCAAGCGTCTGTTGAGAGAGCGAATAAGACAGTGGTCAAGCTTCTTCAGGCGGACAATGCAGAGGGTCGGGTGAGCCAGCAGTACGGGGGCCGAACGAGTCTGAGTGTCGTGTTCGCAGCGAAGAAGTTTTCACATGCGAAATCGCGCACGAATGGCGAGCAGAGAAGGCCTTTCTGAGTGGAAAAATGCAACCTCTCTATTGTCGTGATTTCGCCGGACAGTTCGCAACGTTCAAGGCCAGGGTGGTTGGTTAGTTCGGCGCTGCATGCTTAGCGATTGTCAAAGCACTTGCTTCCATGCTCGGTGAAGCAACCGGGAGAACGGAATTAACCATGCTACTGGTTTTGCTGCATATCTCGCTTGAAAAGCACTCGTTGGAGCCAGCTATTCTCAGAAGAGCATTGGAGGTCACACATGCGTCTACAGGGTTGGGCCAAGCAGCGTTTCTTTGGAGACACAGGATGCGTGGGTTTTCATGCTGTCCATATTGAAATAGCCAACGAGCGTTTGGCTCTGGTGGCGTGCCCCTGGCCGCTTGCTCCTGGCCACTTGCTTCTGAACGCTTGCTTCTGGCTACGACTTCCTTGGTTTGTCCTCCGAGCTGGAGCTTCGATCTGGCTATTGCCAGCCTGATCTTGTGACCGTACATAGCGACAACCTTCGTCGGGAAGCGATGGAGAGGTCAGCTCATTATCCGAGTAGTCTCTCTTCTGCGATCTAGCGCGCGCCAGGACGACCCCTCTCTTCTCCTGATTGTGAAGGCAGATTCGTCAGTTGAAGGTCTGCATTTCTTTAACCTTTGGATTGCAGGACCAGCGATCGTTTGACTCTACAGCAGCAAGCCAATCGACGAATCTGGGCATCCATGGCCTGTTCGATCCTGTAGTGAAAGGCCTCGCTGCTCCTTGTCAGGTGTGTCTTCGTTGCAAAAAGGGCTTACAACCTTAGCGCGCGCTTCGGAGTCCTTCCACACGGACGGAATTTTCTAGCACTTCTAGCACTGAATGCTATCATTTGTCGACAGTGCCAATATTGCAGGGCCAATATTGATGTTCGCGGTAACTGGTGCTTTTGTGATAGGGAATCCAAGTTCCGCCTTCCGCTCCGTTTCCCTCCGCTCCCGTCTCTTCTTGCCGGACCCAGTATTCTGGATTCTCATTAACTTGATAGACCTTCGGAGGCTCATCTCCAGCTCTCTGGATGTGCCTTCACGGACGAGAAAAGCGGCACTGATAACTTTCGACCCAATAATGAAAAGCTGTGAATCGTGGTCCAACTTCCGCCCGGTGCCTCGTGCCTGCCTTCGTGACTCACTTCCGGTATTCTCAGTGTAGCTGACATCATTTGATAGGAATTCGAGATGCTTCGAGAGGCGGCGTGGATCGCGATGTCTGTACGTGACGGTCAGAATGTGGACAAAATTGCTCAGTTTGCAGCTGCTGGAAGTTCCCCGTCGCGGCCTTCGTCTTGTCTCCCCCCCTCTGCTCGAGCCAGATCCAGGTCTCCTCATTCTGGATGTCGCTCTTGAATTGCAGTTTGAGAAGAAGCTGAGATCCCAGTCGAGCACTTTCCAATAGTTCAAAAATTTGAGATGCGACCTTCGGCTGGTTGGCCAAGGTGCGTGACTCGTGAGTGATCCAAGTTCCGCCGGTTCCTCGGCAGCAGTCGGGCCGCGGTCCGCGGTCCGCGAAGCCGCGCCCCAACATCCGTGGTACGCCGCTCCTCACCCTTTGCACACCTGCATCAACTCGAAAGCGACACTTTCGCTGTCATGATTGTCTGTGCCAAGAGTCCTCGGCATGGCACGTCTTCGCAGCGCGAGTGTTCAACCGCAACAGCGCCTTACACCCAGCTGGCCACCTGAACGGCCGTCACCTGCACATCCTCCACCGAAACCCATCGAGCCTGCGCCCGCGCCGCAATACGAATCGGCACAGAACGATGACACTACGGACATGCAAAGCTCTTCGTCAACAGTATACAGTCCAGCCGCTGTACGAAAGCCGAGTCCCCTCAGCGAAATTGAGCATGACAAAAGCGAGACTGCCACTCCCGAGGCGGCTTGCGCGAAGTTGATTGCAGAGAGAGAAAGACTCGGAGATGGCCCTGCGATTCTCGATATATACCGTGTGCTCTGGGCGCAGCATGCTCGGCCGCCTACTTACTCATCCTCTGCACTTGACCTGCTGTTGGATGCGGCGACCACCGAGTTCCTCACCAAACAGCTTGAAGCGGAACTCGCAAGCAGCGACAGGCGCACGCGGCGGTCCATGGACCGACTGATTGGGTTACCGTGGTCGCGAGGGAGGCAAAAGAGCAGGGGCATCAACAACGACATTCTCCTCACTCGATTGCAGCTCTTCGCAATTTTTAGCAATCACGGCAGATTCCTCGAAAAGCTGGCGAAGCTTGCAGACACGGTCACGGAAAGCAACATTAGCTGGGAAGCGATGGTCCTCTTGTTGAGACGGGCAAGCGATTCGCGGCATGACGGCGCTCCGGCCGGCGTCAGACAGACGAAAAGGAACGGAAAGACGGGAATTGGAAGAGGCATCAGCACTGGTGCTGAATGGGCCACGAAAGATGTTGACATGGTACAAGAACAACTGGCGACGAGAACGGAAGAAGATGTAGCTGGACACAATGAGAGTTCCCAGCAGAGCATCCCCGAGCCTGTTTGGCCTTCAACGAAGCGTCCGTTATCGAAGCAGCGTTCAACGAAGCGCCCGGCAGTGGAGCCGCAGCCAGACTGGCGGCAGGACTTGCGGGACGACTCGCAACAAGACTCGCGGAACAACCTGCAGAAAGATTCGTCGCCCGAGGCGAATGGCAGCACGGGCAGCCCGTCTTCTGTGGAACTCGGTCGCAAGGCGGTGCAGCCTTTGTCCGACTTTGGATTTGGCTTTGACTCTCCTGACTCCATTGCTTCGTCGAGGAGACCCAGCAGTTTCTCTTTCTTCAACTCACCCATGTTGTTGCAGGACTTTGACTCGCGCACGGTCTTGCAAGAGCTTCGTCGCCTCAGTGACGAGGGAAACTCGAGTTTGGGTTTCGGATTCGGCTTCCGGGATTGGCAAGGCGACCGCACCCCCACCTTCGCGCTTTCTCCTTCCCACTTCACTTCCTCCACAAACTTGAACAACGTCTTCAATCAGCCTGAGCCCCACCCTCCATCTGCGCGTCTGCATCCATTGGCTGACGCGTCAGCACGCGCACCCCTCGAATTACGTCCGCCTCGCCGGCGGCCTCGATCGCACAGCGGCGACTCCTCACTTCGCTGCAGCACGAACAACGCGCCAGTAGCGCCAATCGTCAACAACAGCGATCTGGCACTGCACCAGAAGATCGTCCGTAGCGAACCTGGTCCTGATACGCAAGACGTCACCGATCCACAAGACGACACCTCACTACAGAAGGATATCGACCTCCAACACCACACCTCGCAAGACCGCACTGGCCCGCAAGACGACATTATCGGTAACTTTGACGACGAGCCATCTGTTACACCCGAGTCTGACACCACGACAGATCTTCCGCCGCAAGATACTGCAACAACAGTGAAGGCCGCAAGAGCAAGTCCTACTGAATCAAAGTGGCATACCACAAGAGCAGACACCACGTGGGAAGCGAGCATCACAACGGCAGAGATGCGGCTCGAAAAGAGACCACTTGGAGAGTCGAACATCACCGGCAACGCAAGCATGGCGAAGAAGCCGAGATTCGAGGGCCCGAGGAAGGCCTCGCGTGTTACTAACCAGGAAGCGCAGGAGTCCATCGGCCACGTCCGTGAAATCTTCGACCTTGCAGGACTCGATACTACCAGCTTCGCACCAGACGCCGTCGCTCCTCGCAAGGGCCCGGGTGTGGCAGGTTTCGCTGACGTGCGTGGAGAAGATGCTCCAAAGTCCGTTTTCATTTTGCCGCTGCCTGTTGCAGCTTCTGGACAACCCGTCACCTACGACTACCATTGGGTGTTGTGCGAATATACCGTCGAAGAAGGTCAGCCTTTCATGGGTGTCTATCCTTACACAGCAGCTCCACAGTCAGACGCGGACTTGAAAGAGCGCTTCGAGGGAATGATAGCATCTGACCTGCAGTTACTTCTGCCTACGGACCAGACGACCGGGCTCTTGTTCGAATGGGACTTCTCCTCATCGTACAATGAGACAGTCACACCGACCATCCTCGACGATGCTCCATACTACCTGGCTGCCAAAGCCATCTTCCGCGCTCGTGGTTCAAAGACTTCCCTTCCGAGTGTCGTGAATGCCCCGATCTGGCGATCGATTCTGACGAGGACACTCTCTTGGCATTCTAGCCCACACGATGCTTGGTCTCTCGACACATTCAGACCAGCACTCGTCGAAGAGCCAGATGACTCAAAGCCCGACGACAGACCCACCGATGGTGACTCCAATAAAGAGGAGCCGTCCCACCTTCAAGACCTCGCGATCTCCGACAACCATTTGCATGCGGCACTGTCACGACTTGATCGCGAACAAGATGCGTTCAACTCCGCCGCCGAAGCTCTTGGCCTGTGGTGGGAGCTTCTCACCGAGCTTCTGGACCAGAATGGTCCCGCCAATGAGGATTTGCAGAAGCTCTCCCAGAAACGCGCCAACGCCCAGAAGGAATGGGAGGCAACCAATGAGCCCTGTTTTCAACAGTCTCTCGCTTTCTACACAAAGCAGCTGAGGACTCATGGCATGTCCCAGGTCAAGGCTTCGTGCGCCGACATGAAGTCCAACATCGAGCGGCGGATGAAGCGTACTGCCGGTGATAAGGCCAAGGAGATTTCGCGTGCTCTCGATGTCGCGCGCAAATTGACGGACAAGTGGCAGCAGATGCTGGATCAGCACTCTTGATCGTCGAAGATGCACGGGTCTTTTCTTTTCTCTTCCTTTCTGGCATGGACGCGAGCAAGACGGATGACGGGTTCGGAAGCGAAGGACCCTGGTTGAAAGCTGTCGATGATGAGACGGATGACTGACATCGATTCACCGATTCATAATTTTGCAGTATCCCAAGATGGGACTGAGCATTCACATCGGCTCAACGATTCATGATGTGGGAGTATCTCAAGACGGGATGTACGCAACGGCTGTAATGATGTGGATGGGCTACGCTTGGAACCGCCGTATGTTCATGATACTGTATATATACACGTATGGCAGGCATCTACTTATGTGAGAAGAATCACAAGCGCGCAAGGTGATTGGGATGGCGCTCACAGTTTCGTGCCCAACCCCTCAAGAGTTGCATCCTTGCGAGCCTTGGTATTCGACGGAAGCATTGAGATTGGTGTGCGCCAAACTTCCTCTGATTCTATTTCTGTATGCCATTCCTCCTCTCCCTGATGCTAAGTCGGCGCTCGACTCTGCTGTAGGCGTTGCTCTCAAGCTCAGAATGTTTCTGACACTCCTTACTATACGCGAACCGTGTTCCCCGAGCTCAGTCACTTGAAGATGGTCTGCCACCCAGACCACTGTGCAAAAAGCCTTTGATGTACGCGACCATTGATCATTTCCTTCAACCTCCCACCACCTTTCCCGGTTCTCTTGCAGCCATGACCTCAAAGGTCTCGGGCCTCAATCTTTCGTTTGATTTCTCTTCGTTCTCATGCTCTGGATTTGCGCTTTCGATCTTCCGAGCGAGCGAGAAGTCGAGATGGCTGTCTGTTAGAGACTCGTTGAAGGTCGAGACATATCTAACTGAAACTTGAGTTGTGTGCCGCATCCGGCGAAAAAACGGTCTGTCGGTCAGCCCACATGAGTCTCGGAGCAGGGTAAGTGCTGGGATGAGATCGCTGGCAGGGGATCGTACGCAACTAGATGAAGCCAGGCCAGAGCCGGAAGGCTGAGATGTGCAAAGGCGCTTGCAGCGACGTGTAACACTATCGCGGCGCCGGCCGATTCGTCCGGATTCCTGTGCGTGATCGCCGAAGGGCACGACACAAAGACCCCGCTCGAGTATGTCGATGGTGATATCTCCTCATGCTCTGCCTGTATTGGCTGAGTTCACCGGCGGAACTTGGTGCGTCTCCAAGCTCCGCCCGAGGCGGCTGCGGCTGCGGGCGCGCCATGATACAATATCCCGATGTGGCTTGTGTCATGGCAGCAGTGGAAAGTGGATGAGCCTCGTGTCGTTTCGTAAATCACCGGTTGTTGGACTCTGGAGAGTAGACTGAGGCAACTCCAAGCCAGGAGGTCAGCGGAGGACGGGTCTGCCCGCTTCTGTGGGTACTTATCTGATGTGAGCACGAGGTATCCAAGCCGAAAGCTTTCACTGGCATCTTATCTCAGTTTCAGCATCAACTTCATCTTCACCACGGCTTTCCACATCGAACGGACTGTGCCACTCCCCGGCGCTCCCCAAATGAACACACTCTTCGACACTCTCTCCGTAGCCTTTCTTCCTCGAGTTGCAGAATATCCCCAAAACCCTCCCTCCTTCTGCGGCGCCGGCGCGAACAAAGACGGTAGGCTGAGAAGAGATTGAGTACCAGCGAAGTTCGAACGCATGATAGCTGTAACAATTAGGGTATACGTCCTAGTTACCGGTTTCATTTTGCTAGGGCTTCTAACTATACTAGAAGATAATAAGAAAGAAGATAAAGAAGATAAGAAAGATAAGGAAGATAAGGTAGAATTTGAAAAAAAAAAAAGTCTTTAAATCGAAGCGAAAGTGTGATCCGAGAAGATTGGTTACCCGCCAAGCTCTACCGGGTATCCGATTACTAGGTGGTACCAGTTGGTACTGGTTACCTGGGGGTTACCAGACCTCTACCTTGCTTACCTGGTAGCCAAAAATTACCTGACCAGACCCAATACCACCCGGGTATATCCCATGATATTGGTAGGGTCTACTCTACGCTGCCATAGGCGGTTCGAGATTTTGAACTAGGAATGATTTTTGCGAAATCTTTTCCAGTAAACGACGTTGCTTCATTTGTTCCTGTTCCTGCCAATTGCACTCCAGCGACACTACATACTCTACACAGGCTTCTCTGGGCATGACGGAGAAGAATTACTTTCTTTGCCCGCGGACTCCGCCTACAAGCTTCACTGCGCGTGCACATTCCTTGCTTCCATGGACTCGGCGTGACTACTGGCCCGCCAATTCCAGCGCGCTTTGCATCCGATTGCTTCTAACAATACCGATCTGTCGTGAAACATTCAGATGCCAAATGCTCACCATCATTCCGAGGCAACTTCGACTACGCAATCATTCACGTTCACACGCCTGCGAAGAATCGAAAATCCTACAAAACTTACCGAAGAAGATCACCATACCTGTCCGTAAGGCGATCGAGCAGCCTCTCACAAAGGCACCTGCCACATGCCAGGTATCCGGATCCGTTCAGCTCTCAGCTCCGTTACAGTGTCCTAACGACGCCGTCAGCCAGTGTGCTTTGAGGCCTCGCTGGGCCATTTATGATTCAAATAAGGAACCAGACTCAAGCGAGCCCCCTTTGGTTTCAACGCTGCACTCCGATCGCCACAGCTAGTGCCTACATTTGGCATGGTACCCGCTTCTCACGCCGCTGGTCAACGAAGACTGTCGCTGCAGTAGTCCAACTTGCGAGACAAATGAAAAGCAGTGATTGGAAAGAATCGCAGTCCAGTCCTGGACCTTCTGAAATATGTTGTTGCTCGCTTGCCAAGCGTATGTTGTAACGTGCACTCGATTGGGTGGTCATTGACGCGTGTCCATGAGCTGCAATGCGTCTCTGTCGAACAAGTCATAATAGATCCTGCTTCGCACACAACACGAACGGTTTCCAAATCAATGTAACCTCTCATTGTCCGGAGCGGAGGGCAAGAAGACATAATGACTCGCGTTGATCCGTTCGCAATTACGGCTGCTTGTCCTCACCCCCTCGCCGAGCAGTTTCTCTCCTCGGCTATTTCGAATCTCTGTCAGTTGACGAGGTACCCGGCGATGCAACCGCCTAAGCCTCGCTCGATTGTGTGTCTTCCTAATAAGCACCTGCTGAGACACTTGAGCGAGCAATGCTACACATGCTCAAGTAAGTCTTGCGACAGGCCCGACGACGATGCTGCCTCCGAGAAGCGAGGCCATGACGCCTGCGACACCGAGAAGCTGGGATCTGGACGGAGTTGGTCAATGGCAGAGCAGACTCGGTCGAAATGCTGCGGCATCCAGTGGTCGTACTCGTTCTTCGTGAACCTGTGTGCTAATCATTTCTCCTTCCCATCCAGTTCGGTGAAGTCCAATTTCCGGATCGTGTGACGAAGTTACTTCGTATCAGCTTGATCTGTCTCTGCGTAGTGTCCGTAGATTCTTACAGTCGCACAGTCGTGCGAAACGGAACAGGCAAGGATTTGGCGATGCAGTTCCCTCTCGCGCTTCACTAACTGGGACAGCTCCACGACCGTACGCACTGCGATGACGGAGCTATGAGCGCTCTGGCGATCCGCAGTATCGAGAACCTCGGCGCCGCATGTCACCTCGCAGGTGAGGAAGGGAAAGTACATGTACCATTTGGCTAAGAATGCAATTGCTCGTTGAGGCCGTCTACGATCCGGCGAGTTCTGTCGAGCTGCTCCTTATTGAACGGCTGCCGACGAAATCTAACCGCATATGCTGGCCGAGGTCGAGCGCTAGTGATCGTAATCGAGCTTTTCTAGCCTTCGTTAACGCTTTCGACCAGGCCGCCCACCTTTGCTGCGCCGCGCATCCCCCAAATCTCCGCGGACAGGTTGAGAAGGGGAGCGATGTCCCGTACGACTCGTGTTTCGTTCATTCTTGTCCTGAATACTCTCACATGTCGAGCTAAAGAGCTTATTGCAACAGCGCAACCGCGGGATATGTCTGCTGCTAGCTGAGAAGCATCTCACACCACTCCCGTCTTCCTTTCGTCACTCCCGCAGAGGACGCTTTCATCCAGGCTCCCTTGTTTTCGAGAAGAGCCACGTATTGTGGCTTTTTGTACTCCAAGCTCTTCTGCTCGCGCGACCTTGACTCTTTAATAGAGCTCCGTGTCGAATTCCCAGAATTCTTCCTGCTTCTAGTGGAATCCGATCGCCGCAAGTATATGGGGTTGCATCTCTTCGCCCTGCTCGAAATAACGCCGAGGTAACCGTTCCTTCGCTGCCCAGTATCAAATCCGATACTCTTCATCCTCGCTCATGTTGCCTCGTGAGGCCCGCGTGGGTGTATTCTCTTCGGTAGACTCTCGCAGTCGCCTTTGACGCTTGTTCGAGGTATCGCTGGGTGCGGCTTCGTTGGTTCGCGGGGGCTTGCGTGAGACGGGATCTTGGCGCTGGGTCTATCGCTGTCACTTGCGAGAGCGATTGTCCGGCGTGGCATTGTCGCTCTGTGTCCTGAAGACCTTGCCGTGGGGAGCGGCTCTCGACTGTTGCTACCGCCGCGCAAACCCCTGCATCCACGTAAGCTATTCCGTTGCTCTCGCAAGTCTCGTGGTCTGATCTGACAAACACCTTTGTTGACTCGTGTTTGCGTAGCAAGTTTCCCAGGCGCGCGTTTGTAGCTGGAACTCAGGTGCGCGTCACCTCTTCGCTGCTGACTGGGTATGCTGCGGCTGCGACGGATGTTTCCCCGGTCGTGTATCGTGCTGGCAGTGGCCACGGCGCTCTACGGAAGGGCGGAGAGTCCGACGAGATGTATCGCTGGTGCGGACTGATGTGCAGGTGGGTTTGGGCAAGCGGGAAGCAGATGGTGCCTCAGGCGAAGACACGTCACCACTCAGACTCAAGGTGCGCTCGGTGCCAAGCCGCCAAGGAAGCTCGCTTCGGCGAAGCTCAGATCAATGCGGTCAGAAGCAGCGCCATTTATTTGAGGCACTGCAGCAGAGCTATCTGGACTGTTCAACTTGAGAAGT